TTTATTACATTTTATTTTATACCTAAAGGCACAACATAAAAAAATCTATATACTAGACCTTTCACATAGAGTGGGTGGACAAAACTATGACCTTTCACAGAGAGTGAGTGGACGGCTTTATTTTATCAGTGGGTGGGTGGACGGCTTTATTTTATCTCACATGGCTTCTTTTAAGATCACTTTCAGAGTGGGTGAATGGGCTTTATTTTATCAGTCAGATGGCTTCTTTTAACACTTCATCACTTACTTTTGAGCTTTAGCTCAGAATATGGCTAAAGAATAACAGGTACAGGTCAGTTTTTTACTTCACTAAAATAATGGGAGGGGTAAGTCAGTTTTACTTTACTAAAGAAAAAGCTACACTGAAGAAAAAGCAAAGGGAATGCAACTTTGGGGCAGCACATGGGCCGCAAGAAATGACAACAAACTTTTACGTCTTATTGAACAGGTTTGGTAGCAAAGTTAGAGTCTATTCGGTGCATATTGTAAAAAGAGCTTTTTGGCTTTAAAAGTACAAGCTGCACCAAATGAATCAGCTTTTCAAATTTGTTATAGCTTTTGAGAAGCTCAGCTTTTTACCTTTCCTTTGCAAAGCTTGGAAGCTCTCATTTCTTACTTTTGTGGGAGCTTCTCGCTTCTAAATTAATGAAATTGACATGATCTTTTCATTTTATCCTCACACTTCCTTTTATTTACGAAAAAACTACTATATAAAGCACCAATTTATAACATCACAGGCACTGTTGTTTCTTCTTCCTCATCCAAGAAACAAATCCAAAATCCTCATTCAATCAGAGAAACAAACCAAAAATATCCAATCAAAGAAACAAACCGAAAATACTTACCGTATTCTTTCTCATTTTCTTTCTTCCTAAACCGAAAATCCCCTCATCTTCCGTTCGGAGACGAACCCAGGAGTTGGGTTCACGGCAAACCCCACGCTTGGGTTCTGAGGCGAACCCAGTGCCTGGGTCCGAGGTGAACCCAGCACGAGTTCGTCGCAAACCCCTCCCTTGGGTTCCGAGACGAACCCAGGCACGGGGTTCATCTCGGAACCTAGGCATGGGGCTCGTCGCGAAACCCAGCGCCTGGGTTTGAGACAAACCTAGGAGCTGGGTTCCGTGATGAACCTGGGTTCGCACGAACCCAAAGGTGAAAAAAAAAAAAAGTAGAAGGAAACAACCGCAGAGGAATGGGGAGAATAATAAACTTTATAATATTTATATTAATAATTATATAATTAAATGATTT